TTAGCAGTGTGGTACTGTTAACAGTGAGGTTCTGTTAGCAGTGTGGTCTTGTTAGCAGAGCGGTCCTGTTAGCACATGCAAAACACCCGTTAGCCACAAGGTGGTGAAACCCTGAAGAAAGCAGGTCAGGCAGCTCCAACATGTGAAACGTGAACATCTGTCACCACAGAATCTGAATTCTCTCTACTCAACATGTTCATGTCTTTTTGTTCATTCATGTTCAATAATCTTGAAAACTCGTATTCTGCGGCGCAGAGCAACATGTTTGTTTTTTTTAAGTTGGAGAGATTATCTGCTCAGGATTTAGTTTGAAGTGTAATTATTGATGCACCAATAATCGTTTCACCTCTGAATAGTGATCAAATCGAACTGTGGGGCGTGTAAAGGTTCTGGATCCAGCGGTGTGTGAGCGGGTCATCGTACCTGCTTCTGAGTGGCGACTCTCTTCTGGTCCCTCTTCCTCCAGGCCGGGTCGTGGATGTGGAGGAAGGTTTTATATCCTGTTGAGATTCCGCTCGGCCGGAACAGCTGACGCAAAAACAGAACAAGCAGAAAAAACTGAACGCAGATCATAAAACCCTAAAAGTTGAAATTCAAGTTAAAATTTTTCATTTCTCTGCTCCTTAAGTTTAATATTTTTATAATTTGTGTGAAAATGTTTGTTTCTGTGAGCTTTACCTGTAACTCAGCTTTTCTCAGCCTTCTGTAAAACTCGTCGTCCTCCCTGCCCCAACCCCAGAACCGGTTTGACATCCCGTTACACTGCGCACGCACACATGCACAGAAGCAGAATAAAAGCTTTAGATTCAGAACAGAGGTGGTCTGAAAACAAACGGTAACAACGAAGGAAGATGAGGCTGGAATAAAATAAAACTAAATGTACATATTCTTCTGAGCAGAGTGGAAGGAAGGTTACGTCATACATAAATCAAACTACTATTAGAAATGAGCTTTGAGGTTTGAAACATTCAAATCAAAACCTTCATCCTGACACATTTTTATTTTCAGCTGCTCTCCATTAAAATTCAGCTGAAACACAGATTAAATTGATCCGATTTAGAAGCTGATTTTCACAGAAACGACAGATAATCCCTGAACTGTTCGTGTCATGTGATCTGGATGTGCAGCTACATTAAATTATTTAATTAGGAACAGTATGAGTGTTGCAGTCTGAAGTGCTGTAGATGATTTCCAGATGTACATTTCAGGTTCCTGATGCAGTTTTTGCTGTTAGGAGACAACAGCGCCATCTGGTGGACAAAGGTCTAATAACAGAGTGCGGGGCAGGATGGGAGGAGAGTCTGACAGACGGAAAACATCAGCCAGTATCTCTCTGCACCAAACTGCAGTGAAGGAGTTTACAAAATGTCTGGAAACATTTGAGAGATGTTTATAAACTCCTTCCTGTTTGACAGGAACCTCTGTGCCTGACGAAGGTCACGCCAGCACCGAGCTGAGCCACCCTGCCTCATCAGATCAGTGGATAAAATGATCAGTCGTTGTATTTTACTGCGGCTGACAGAACACCAACAGAGCTGTGATGCCCTCCGACGTTCAGGCTGCACACACACACACACACACACACACTCAGTGCAGCTGACTGAGATGAACGCTGTGGAACGAGGAGGGTACGATGTTGGCAACAAAATAATGCACAAGGCCAAGAATACAGTTTTACAAGCTGAGCGCACGAACATAAACCATTTTTATAAAAACGTGGCCGCGTGGCTCACTGGTGGCTCACTGGTGGCTCACTGGTGGCTCGTTCGCTCAGAATTCAATGAAACTAAAATTAAAATTCATGAACTTTCTCTACAAGTCTCAAAGTGAGATACACACTTCTGTTCCAAAACTCGACTGAAGCAGAAATGTTTTCTTGATGTTAATGGAAAAACACCTTAAAAGCTCAGAAACTTAAGGAAGCTGCAATATATATATATATATATATATATATCTGCCCCCCAAGACGAGACTGGGTGGATTAAAGTGGCTCGTTCAGAGCGAACATGTCCTAATCTTCATCATAAGGATGTTGCTTCGGTACTTTTTATTTATTTATTTTTTAAATGTGCTTGAATATTCTTAAAATAATTTTCAGTGACCAAAATTAAAGATGATGAAAATACAGGTGCGAGCCGTAGACTCTTTCTTTGTTTTAATTCTGGTTTGCACAGAAACAATGTTGCTTCAGTTACCCTCCAACATTTAAAAACACATCATCTTCATCAGTACCATGTGATAATGCTTCTTGGTGAGCAGCAAGATTCCTCCCACGTACGTCTTGTAATGGTACAGTGGGTGCAGCTCTGGCGAGGCCACGTGGAAAGGCCCGTCGGTGGGGAACCCGTAGTCCAGAGCCTCATTCAGGGGCAGCAGGTCCACGTCGTGCATGGCCAGGTAATCCGTGTCGTTACCGCTCTCCTTGAAGCCCACGTTGATCAAAGACGCTCTGTTGAACCTGGAACGACGAGACGGTCATTTACAGCTCGAACAGACTGATTTTGCAGCTGAGCAACAAAACAAAAGGTTTAAAACGTCCTGAGCTCTGACCAGCAGTTCTGTCAGAGACGATTCCTGGTGGTTTAACTCCAAAACAAACTCTTCAGAAAGCTGAATATAAACATACATTTGATAAAGATTTTACAAGGTGAACTATGAATCCAGTATGATACTTTACGTAAATATGATCTTAAATCTAAATGGTGCAGCGAGACAAAAGCTGCTGCCTGCACCGAACTGGTACAGATGTGAAAATAAGACGCTGCACATCCAGGATTTTAGAATAAAGTTACTTAACAAGTTCCAAACACAACAAAAATCAACAAAATATTAAATAATATGACAAGATGTGATGTAATAAGTCATGTCATAAAGTTCACCTCAGATAAGACCTTAAATGGTTTATTATTCATCGTACAACTTAACACTCTTATTAGATTAAATAAATATTCTGGGTATTTTGTAGGTTTCTGAGTAAAAGATATAAATAGTTAATATCTTACCTGTTGTTTAAAGTTCTTTGATTGGTCTTAGTGTAATTATATTGACAGTTATTTCAGATTAATTATATGAACTTTCTGCTGGTTGTGACCCCTAGATGCTCTGGAAGTGCTAGAACTAGCTGCTGCTGCTAATTATGCTCATAAATAATCCAGGATTTCTTGTAAATATCCGTGTGATGTGGTGAGAAGGTTGTTAAAATAGTTTGGATGAACTGATTGAAGCAGTTTATAAACAGCAGAGATCGACTTCAATCCGTTTCCATTTTATTTTAACTTTATAAAAATCTCAAAGGTTGACAGCTGAGAGGTTTAACTGCACAATTATAATATTGTTTTCCATGAATTTGGTCAGAATAAAACTTTTGGTACAACTGATGTTTTTCAAAGAGCTACAGATATTTACATTCAGACAGAAACTCAATTCAAAATGGCCGAACTACTCCTTTAAAACCTAAATTAAGTCAGTTCTGAACAACCGGACAGAAAATGTTTGTTTTCAGTGTCGGGCCTAAACACTCTGAACGATCCAGGTGAAGAACCTGAACAGAACCAGACAGCTCAGAACCTTCAGACGGTCCTGATGGTCCTCCTCCTCCTCTGATTGGACGCCTCACCTGTAGTGATCCACCTGGTTGATGATGAGGATTTTATGGCGAATCTTCTTCTTGTTGAGGAACGTGTGCATGAAAGGAACGAACACCAGCAGCTCCTCGAAGCGTTCTCTGAAGGGAACCAGGAGGACCAGCTTATGAGGACCCCAGGAGGGGTTGTCCGCTGCAGACGCCCGACTGTCCGCTGCACACGGTGGTGGCTGCGGGACACGCCTGTCCTCGGGCGTCGCTGCAGACATGTCACCTGAACAGCTGAGCTGCAGCCAGAGCAGAGAGACCAGCACCAACACCATGCAGAGTCCGAACAGCTTGTAGACGGTACATTTCCCCGACAGAAACCTGAAACCAGAACAGGAAGTTAAAGCTTTGACCCGGTTTGGTTCTGACAGACGATCTCTCGCTCTTAAACACGTGCAGCTACATATCAGTACAAAGGTAAGTTTCACTTCAGCACAAACACTGCATTCAAGGTGCATCACGGTGCAAAACTTTTAAACCACCCCTCAGTTCTTTCTGGCTTCATAAATGAGACCCCCCCCCCCCCCCCAGCTCAAAATGACCCAGTTTTAAAATGAAGGTCTTGGGTTCATTTTGGTCCAACGATAACAGGAACATTAAATATGTTGATCAGATGAACAGCAGTCACTCACGTATCGGTCTGTTCTTGACAGAAATCACAGTAAAACCAGCCGACAAAGACAATGTGTTATTTTTACTGAACAGGTTAATAATTATTCAACTTTTACAACTTTTCACCAGAGTCAAAATATATGTGTTTAATTTGATTGAAGTTATTGAGTCGTATGAGTAACGGTTACAGGACGGGCCATCCAAGCAGAAAACCAGCCAGTTCACAAACTAATTCAGAAACTTTGTAAAGATTTAAATACAGCAGAGCTGCAGATGTTCTTACAGAAAATAAAACTTAATCTGCTACACTAAATCATTTCTGTTAGAATTTGCTAAAACATTCAGCTTTTAGCAAAATCCTGTTAAATAACAAGTAGTAAATAAATAAAAAAAAACATCTAAGCTCAGGAACAAAATCTAAAACGGTCAGAGGAATTCAGGTATCTGGGAGTCCTGGTCCTGAGTGGCTGGATGGAGAGGGGGATGAACTGGTAGATCAGAGCCTCGTCTGCAGTAATGACAGCATTGCTCTGGTCAGTCACAGTGAAGAAGGAGCTGAAATGAACTGAAAGGCAAAGCTCCGGATTGACTTGGATCTGTTAACATATGGCCATGAGGCTTGGATCAGGACGCACCGGATCCTGCACACAAGGGACTAAAATGAGATTCCACTGCCGTGTGGCCGAGTTCAGCCTCGAGGCAAAATCGTTCTTTTTTTTCTCTATTCTTTCAGCATTAACTCCACTTAAGACAAAAAAAAAATCATCACACTCTCATACTACAAAGTTAAAGAAGACAGGGAGACCCAGCTTGTTGATTTTGAACGATTTGATATAAAACGTTAGGCAGAAGAACATTCGTGGGATGAGACGGCTCCAAGGAGCTGGAGGTCCGAGTTTCCTCCTGGACGGGTCCAGGACCCGAATAGAGGATACAAATAAATATCTGATGAGTTTATACACTACAGTTAACTGTACAATAAGATCTTGGCAGCTTTAACACAACTCTGATTGGTTTATTATAATCTGTCAGTATTCAGACTTAATCCTAATTTTAATGTTCAACACAGATTTTGAATTGTTTTGAACAAACGGCAGAAATTCAAGTCAGAATCTGTGAAGACTTAACACTGGTTTATTTTGTTTTAGTTGGTTCGTGGACCTGAAGGTGTCCCAGGACCACGGTTTGGGAACCAGTGGTTCGAAACCAAAGTCAAACTGTACTCACCTCCTCCTCTGATGATGATGGGGAGCTTCAGAGATTTCATGTCTTAAAGGCCAATAAGAAAACAATAATGAACAGTGAATAAGTTAATTATTTCATTTTGTTTTAGTTTCTTTAGGACAGAATAAATGTTTTTATTTGTACTAAAAATGGGCATTTTAAGCATAAAACAGTTTAATTTGATGAAAATTATTAGATCAATTTTCCACAATTTCTTTTGAATACAAATACTTTCAGACAGTTGTTTTTTTAACGTTTTTGCTTAAAAGCATATTTATATACTGTATTCATTTGTAACATTTTCCACGAACATGAATTCTAATCAAATTCACTCGAACTTTCAGTACTTTTTAACATTTCAGTATCCGGCGACCTCGGTTGTGGTTACTTGCGTTGGGGGTCCCATCAGACGCGTTTTGTCGGGGAAAAGTTAAACTATCTTTGTTTCTCTGCCCCGTAATGATGCACTCTGAGCAAAGTTTCCATCATTTTCATGCCATACTTCAGGAAAATGACGTGCACAAAATTTAGTTGATTATTTGAATGCAAATGTGATGTGCTGGTACTCGTATAATCAGACATGTTTTCATGTTGCAGGCTCTGCAAACAGGAAGTGAAACCATGCATGTGGCCTTGAGGCCGTCTTGTAATCCAGAGGCTGCAGGTTTGAGCACAGGTTGTGTCTGAAAAGGCATCAGGCCGAAACAATTTTCAAATATTCTATATGGATTTGCAAAAAGTGTGTTATTATATCAGCCCCTCTGGCATTTCCCTCTGAATTTTTAGTATGACATAACCAGGATGACTCTTTCACCCCGGTTTTGATCGGATAGAATCTGCAGGTTTCTTCATGCATTTCATGGGTGATGAAAATGTTGAAGTACTTCAACAAGCTTAAAACGCATGTCGGGGTTCACAGCATTCAAGTGTTGATAGCTGTTGATATAATACTTGATCTAAATACTGACTCTTTCATGACAATCTGATGTTAAGAACATGGTTTTTGAGACTCCAAATCTTACGATGCTTTATGCCCCGTCATGACGGATGCAAAAAAAAACTAAATAAGTTTCTCTTTAATCCCTGGTTAATCAACTTTTTTTTTTTTTCCATCTTATTTGAATATATGTGCCTATTTTGCTTGCAGATGATAGATTGTAGTTTGCTGGTGAAAAGAACATATCAATAACTAGATCTCTTGAAAATTTCATCCAGTTATATAAAACAAATTAACACGTTATGTTAATTTGTTGCAGGTTGATCACAAAGTTTTTTGATTTTCAACGTTAAACCAAAGGGGAAAAAGTTTTTTTTATAGGCTAAAATTGTCATAACTTCCTTGTTTCTTCACCAATGCAGATAATCTTGGGCTCAATCTCTTTGTTTTATCAAGCTCCATTCATTGTATAACCAAAATTAACAATTCATGGACTGTGTATGTGTGTGTGTGTGTGTATATATATATATATATATATATATATATATATATATATATTGTATATATTTACAAGCATTGTAAAATGTGATTTAATTTGTCTGTCCTACCTTCTTTCCTCTTTGAAGTAGAGTACGGGCTTCCTCCTGGATGAATACATCATATTTACCCGCAGCTTCCAGCCCGTTAACCGGCTGCTGCCAGCGGAGACTAACGGTCAAACCCGGTTCATTCTGCTCCATCCGGGGCCTCCATTACGGGTTTCTTTCTGCTCGCTGACTACCCGGTGAAATCAGAGGTCGAACCCCATGTTCGGACACGTTCCGACCCGGAGCCGTTAGCAGAAGGCGCTAGCGGGCTGGATCGGACACGTAGCAAGCGGATGGAGCGGTCCACGGGCTCCGGTGCTCCTCACGGACCGGTTCTGTCTTTTACTTCTGTTTGAACAGCGACACCGAAGATCCGTTGATGCTTAACATTACTGAGTATTTCACTTTACTGAACAGAACCTTATTTACCGGGTCATAAAGACGAGCTGAAATCACATAAAACCGTTTATCGTTGTGTCCGACCCAGAAATCAATCCGACAGGAAACTGCAAATGTTTTCAAGGTTCCTACAGACTTTTTTTTTTTTTTTT